TTTTTTTTGCCATCTTCCTCTAGATGAGTTCTGATTATCAAGCCATCAAGGCTAGGTCAAATGGGTACTATCTGCAAGTTTGGGTGCTCTTGTACGTCTCCCCCTCATTTCATATCTGCTAGACGCCTCACTCTCAATTCTAGCACTCTGTGGCTATATCCTTGTCCATGGGCTCAGGTGTCTCCAAGTTCCACCACACTTTGGACCAATCAGCCCTTCCTTTTCTCTCCTATCTCCATGTCAATGGGAGCCTATGGAACATGGTTGAACTCAGCCCATTTCTTCATTGCTGCCTTTTCCCTCTTCTACTCACCAGTAGACCAATGTGGTCACCAGAAAGCTTATATGCCTGCTCATGTGTTCCCTTTGAGTTTCAGTCTTAGAGGGGGTTGTTTGTTCTGAAGGGACTTTATTGCTTGCCTTGATGACTTCCAGGTGAACAACTTGCTTATTCTTGTAATAGCCAGTCATACTGCCACTTTTGTTTTTCCTGATGATCTTTCTTTGATGATGTATATTCTGTTGCTCTAGCTGTTCCAGGCTGGTCTGCATGTCCTTTCTGATGGGAATGGCGACCTCAGAAGGTTCTGGATGGGGCTCAGGGTTCCACCTAAGGTCCTATACACTGCAAAGGCTCCACAAGAGGCCTATTTCACCAGGCAAGTTGTAGGACCCCTTTTAGATATTCCAATCAGTTTTAGGTTGAAGATGAGCTTACAAGCTTTCTGTAATCATGTTTCCCGACATTCCTTTCTATCACACTCAAGTGTCTATTTTACAATACTAGGCAAGGGAAACAAATACTCATAATACAGTCAAGAATCTTAGTTCTATTTCCCCTTTTCAGGGTATGCCTCGATCCTTGTATCACAGAACCCTGTTGTTCCAAGGTTGAGCATGCATCTGTCCCATTTAGCCCAAGCAAACCTGACTCAGTATTCCCCTATCTACCTTGTTCTTCCTCCTTCTCGTGTATTGCCTTCCCCAATACCCTAACTATAATGTGCCTGCCCCCTACCATGTGCTCTATTTGTAGCTTCCCTCCCCCTTCCCTAAATCCCAGCCCTACCCTACCTCCACGCATAATCAGCAAAGTTTTTGAGGTTTTTTTCCCCTTTTAGTATGAGTATCTTTTCTTACACTTTTACAAAAATGGTCTTATGCAATATTTGTCCTTTTGTGAATGACTAATATGTTACCTATTGAAATAGTTGATTATTGATCATTTCTTCATAGTACAGTGACTCTGTGTATTTCTTCTATTTTCCTTTGATGCTTTCTGCATCATTTAAATTTTTGCCCAATTTTAAAAAGAAAAAAAAAAAAAGTTCTCTGTGGTTGATTCAAAATTTTATCTATTATGTAGTTTCTATCACCAAAATTGAAGAAGACATTCAGCATTTCTCAAGCTGAAAGTTGTTGTTGTTGTTAAGTGCCGTCAAGTCGGTTCCAACCCATAGCAACCCTGAACAGGGTTTCTGAGGCTGTAAATCATTACTGGAGCAGAACGCCTCATCTTTCTCACGCGGAGCAGCTGGTAGTTTCGGACTGCTGACCTTACCCTTCGCAGCCCGATTCATAACCACTACGCTACCAGAGCTCCTTCAAGCTGAAAGTATTGAAGAAAAAAAAAGAATCAAGCCTCAACTTGTAATACTGAAAGTTTCTGTGGACAAAACATTGTATAATACAGAAAGCATCAAAAGAAAAATGCTGATGACAAAGAGGCTAGAGTTTTCGGTATTTATCACGCTTGTATGTAATGAAGGTGCTCTGGTAGCGTAGTGGTTAAGAATCGGGCTGCGAACCTCAGGGTCAGCAGTTCGAAACTACCAGTTGTTCCGTGGGAGAAAGATGAGGCTTTCTGCTCCCGTAAAGATTTACAGCCTCGGAAACCCTGTTCAGGTTCGCTATGGGTCGGAACTGACTAGACGGCACTTAACAACGGTAATGAAAACAATATTCCTCACAATTGAACCAATAAAAATATCACGATAATCAGAGAAAAGATTGAAGTTGTCAAAGATTTCATCCACAATCAGTGTTCATGGAAGCAGTAGTCAATAAACTAAACTATGTATTACATTGGACAAATCTGCTGCAAAAGACCTCTTTAAAGAGTTACAGGGCAAAGATTTACTTTGAGGATTAAGCTGTATATGACTCAAGTCATGATATTGTCAATCATCTCATATGCATTTGAATACTGAACAATTAGTGAGGAAAACTGAGCGCAATTGATACATTGAATTATGTTGTTGGGGAAATATATAGAAAGTACCATGAATTACCAAAAGAACAATCTTTCTTGGAAGAAATACAGCCAGGGTACTCCTTAGAAGCAAGGATGGTGAAACTTTATTTCAAGTACTATGAGCATGTTTTCAGTAGCAAACCAATCCCTGGAAAAGCACAGAATGCTTGATAAAGTGGACTGTCAGTGAAAAAGAGGAAGACCTCCAATAAGATGGATTGACTCAGTGGTTGCCACAATGGGTTCATATACAGTAACAGTAATGAAGATGGTGCAGGACTGGGGAGAGTTTTGTTCTGTTATGAACAGGGTCCCCTTGAATTGGTGCCAACCTGAGGGCACTTAATACCAAAATTACATAGATAGGACTATGTTGCTATTGTTGTTAAGTGCCATCAAGTCAGTTCCAACTCATAGAGACACTATGTAGGGTTCCTGAGGAGCAGTTGACAATCTTGAACCACCAACCTTGCAGTCCAGCACATTAACCCACAGGGCCACACCATGACTCCCAGATAGGACTATATGGTAGCTATATTAATCAATATCTTCTATGTGAAGTCTAGGTAGTATTCACAATAAGACTGTCCAAGGAAAGACAAAGAGGCCCTGGTAGTATAATGGGTTACAGATTTGACTGACACCTGAAAGGTCAACAACTCAAATCCACCAGCCACTCAACAGGACAAAGATGAGATTTTCTGATCCCCATAAAGGTTTAGAGCCCCAGAAACCCTATACAGTGTTGTATTGAGTTGGAATCCACTGGATACACAGCAGTAGCAGCAGGAGAGATAAAGAAGGAAGGCATCACCTTAGGACTGACTCATAGTTGGAGATGGCAAGTAGTCTGGAAGTATAGGCATTTTTTCCTGTAATAGAAGTTTGTAATCCTAATTGCTTCTTAAGCCATTTATCTATGTCTACAAATGAAAATGGAAATAAATAAATAATTTGTCATATATTCCTGTAACAGATAAATTATAAAGAGCTCAATTAATTTCCTCATAAATTATTTTTCAAAGACAAAATGTTTAATACTATTTCTAACCAAATTTTTGTATGTATTTTTAGCTGTTGTCTGAAATGTACTCACACTCATTTTTCCGTTACGATTGTCTTCTTCTCTCATTGCCAGGGCCTTCAGAAAACTGTCTTGAAGGTCTTTACCAGCACTTGTTAATGTTCTGTAAAAAAAAAAAAAGCAAAAAACATTTAGTTATAATACACTAGGTAATAGATATGTTTAGAACAATCTGGGCTAACAAGCATAGTTATTTATTCCAAGTGACAGTGACCTTATGAAAGGACAATACACACAATTGCCATAGACTTGTAGGTTCCTAGGTTTAATTTAGTATAGCTAATGCTGTGGACTGCAAGGTCAGTTTGGACCACGAGGTCCATCAGCCACTCCTTTGAAACCCTATACAGGATTGCTGTAATTCAGAACTGACTTGATGGCACTCAACAACAATATTATTGGAGTTCTGGTGTGACACTAAGGATAAGCACTGGCAATGCAAACCTAC